TAGGAGTGGGGTGAATGTAGCTATCCCTGATGTAATATCTGTTGTTTGAACAATAAATCTCTGTTGTCCAATCCGCRAAWYGGCAATATGCATTATGGCGTCATTTACTACAACTARCAGAATGCTTTGCCAACTTTCTTTTGTAACGTAATTAGTGCCAATTGTTTTATTAATCTCCAAGGTGATTAAAAATCTGAATAACAATAWAAATGRGCAAGGCTCTCTGGTAGTTGRAGTAAAGTCACGTCATAATGCAAACAGCCTATTGCCATGTTGACCTCTAATGAATCTATTTACCAYTCAAATACCTCAGTAGTCCACCAATGGCCAAAWAGGCATGGCTATTATGGAATCAGTATTATAAATTTAGGTGRGGTGTTCAGTATTTGCACAATTTTTTATGCTGTATTAAGTTATCTAACCCCCCTTATGTCCCACTCTATAGATTGTTCCCTTGACCTGTTGATGTCTTGGTGTAAATAAATATCTAGGAAACTCACACCACTTTGCAAGCATTTATAGTCAAATCACTGGTAAAATAAAAATACATATCCATATAAAGCTGATGTAGGCCCAGGTCCACACTCTCACACAAATMAGCACCAGGTCTTGCACCAGTCTTTTGAAACTGCATCACTCTGAGTCATTCATGAAATCTAAAAGCATAGTATATGTATACATACAAAAGTCACATGTACCAAGAGTTTGAAGTTGAGTAAAATTAGCCAGAAATGCTAGCTCCACTATCAACAAACAATACATTTCTCTAATCTATTATTACTGGCTTTTTATCTCTGTAGTACACTAAAAGACCCAAGCATTATAAAACCTCCCTATACAATCCCCTGCACATGTCCTGAAGGCASTGGGCTTGCTGGTGCAAAGCCGTCATGTAAACCCTGTGATCCAGGAAYATTTAGTGCTGGAGGTGAACATATTAGTGAATGGGGAAGTTGGGCAGACAATGGAACCATTCCACCAMCTCAATCAGGAATAACTACATTTTGTGATACCTACCGTAGCTATGTCAAGCCATGTGAACACTGGAAAGCTAGCTGTGAGTTAAATATATTTTTTGCTCTTAAAACTTTTTTTTTGTAAATATCCTTTATACTCTACAACTATGATTTATAGTTCAGAAATAACTAGTAAATATTGCTAATTTTGTACTTTTAATACTGATGCTGTGTAATCTGATGTCAACCATAGCATTTTCAAAGCTCTGTAAATGTCAACCACAGTGATACATAATAYTGATTTCCACTCAATTGTTCTACTCTATTGCTTAAATGTTCCTAATTTTTACTGAATTTTTACAAAATGCTGTATATTAGAGCTCCTATCTTAGAAGTTTAAAATTAGTTTATATTATTTCTGAATTCCTTTTATTATAATTTCAGTCTTTAATGACAGCATTGAGTCAGGTGAAAATTCAAAGACAAGGTGTATGACCTCAACCCTTTTGATGAAAAAGCAGTTTGTTGGTCCSGAGAATTACGTCGAATTCACCTACAGAGTRGAAGGTCGTAAATGCTACAATAACTATGCAGGATGCGATGGTTTGGCATTTTTCGTTGATGGCAAGCTAGTTATGAAATACCGAGGCAATCAGCTTGTATGGAAGACAGTGAGGTTCAATGTTTCATCAGTACGTAACCAAAAAACTTGACCTTTAT